TAGTAATGTTTAATCGAACATAATCATCACAATCAAATGTTTTTTATGACAAACGGATCAATTTGCAATGGACCCAAGATAAAGGCACTATGGATCCGAATTTTTTTTATAATATAAACTATGCCTCTAATCATGGTTTTTTGTTCATTATTTCAGGTGGGAAATAAATTGCGTTATGGGGGTTTTCGCCTTTCGCATCTTGACTCGTGTATCATAAATGAATTAAAGGAAAGAATTAAATGGGGTAAAGGAGAAAGAAAAGCGAAGAGATTCTTCATATTCTCCACTCAAACCCTAAAAGATGTTTCTTTTTTGACCCACTTTTAATTTAAATTTTATTTTTCAAATGTATAGAAAACTCACGCCGTTTAGATTTCTATTCGTGTCTTTATGTAAGAACATTATAAAGTCGCGGATGCAATGTGTTTTTGGTATATCTCTACTAATTATCATAACCATTATGTTTTTGATGAAATGAGTTTGTTGTTTTAGCCTTTTAGGTGAGTTATTATTTGAAATGAGTTAACGTTGTGTTACGTACGTATACGGTTCGGGACCAAAAAAGCTTTTGTGTTTTTGTTCTATGAATCTAAACCGGCATTTAATTTCCAGCATATAAGTAGTAGTTTGTATTTCAAAACTGTTATTCTATCTTCAGTTATGAATGTTGATGTTTTGGTTTCGTACAAATCCAACCCTGAGCTAGATCCAGCATATAAATAACTGAGCATGCAGTATAATGATTTTATTTCTCTTGAACCCTCATTAATAGTTCTCTTAACATTCTCATTTGTAAAACTGAGCAGTGTATCTATTCCAATTATAACCAATGAAGCAATTCTATATTATTTTTTAATTCGATATGATTTGTGTGTATACAACTAAAATTTGAACCCCCTTTTTAAACTCATAAGATTTTAACTCGTCATTGCGAATTTTCGCATTCGATTAAGTAAAAGGATGTCAAATGGTAGGTATAGTTGATTGATTAGTACTAATCAGTAATCATACTATTGCATATTTTATATTTAGTAAATGGAACTTTATAAAGTGTTCAAACATCAAACCAATATCATTATGTTCCATAAAAAAAGTAGCGGAGTAGCAGCATAATTGGTGGAACAAACGGCTTACGTGACACGTTCTCTATCATCAATTATTCGCCCTATAGTTTTAAAAGTAAATTAAAATTTGTTGAAATGTTTTACTTCTTTTGTATTTCTTTTCATTTTATGGGTTCGACCTTATCCTGGGCCAAAAAGAAGCAGCTACACTATTTTTTCGTGTGGATATATATAACATCGTTTTTTATGTTTTTTTTTTAAATTWTMTGTCAGTGGCAACTGCGTTTTCATGGACCAATGTTTTAAAAGTAGTCGTACTGTCAAAAAAATTGAAGTATAAATTCGAATAAAAAACTAAAGCAAGACTCGACGTATACGAAATCAAAGAATGTTAGGAAAGGCCACAAGAAAGAAGAAAAAAAACGTCATTTGGGGGCACAGCTCTACGTAGTAGTTTCTAGAAATATTTGGTTGTTTTCTTTATTGGACAATGTGTTACTACATATTTCTATTTTTCTAAATTCTTTGCAAAGAAGTTGAATTGAATTCTCATGCTTATTGCTTACACATTTGAAAATGTGACAACACCATTTGCATCAGTGGATTCGAACTTGTTATTCACTACAAATAAATAGAAATGAGTTTACGTCAGTTGTAGCCAATTGTAACCTTCGAATTCATGTAGAACTAGAGAACACTCTTATGGGTGATGAAGTGTTTGATTTCTGCTTCCATAACCATGATTGGTTTTGAGACGAATTATTTGGATCTAATTATAAGAATGATGTGTTTCTATATATATTACAAGAGTGATTTGTACATGGCTTTATACAATATTGAGAAAGTTAAACATAGAAATAACTAATCACACCTAATTACACTTAATGATATCAATTACCATAACTCCTAATTATATGTTTTCTATAATTGGTCA